GTTATTGAAAATTTAAAAAAAAATGTGATAAACTAAACTTAATTTTTTTAAACACATCAGCCATCTTCCACCGAGGCAGGGCAGCCCGAATAAGAGGAAACACTGTAGAAGTTTTTCCTCTTTTTTTCTTTGCTCCTGGTATTTTAGTCACCTCTTTCAACATGCATGGCTTTTGGAGGAAGGTTTCTTCTCTTCTACTCTACACCAAAGAGGAAGACTGGTTTAGGTGCCAGTTTCTCAAAAATTATAACTTTATAGTTTTTTTTTCCAACTAGTTGGCCATCTCCCACCGAGGCAGCATGACCCAAAAAGAAAGAAAAAATCCCCAAAAAGAAAATACTTTCATCATTCAATACTTTCACCTCACTCACATAATCAGTCTTTGCAGAGGCACCCAGATACAACAGTTTAGAAGCAGTTATATATAACCTACCCCTCCATACTGCCAATATCCCAAAAACCTCATTTAAAGTGCAGGCATTGTACTTCCCATTTCCAATACTCAAGTCCAGCTATATAAAAATAACCGGTTTCCCTGAATCACTTCACTAAATATTACCCTGCTCACACTCCAATAGCTCGTCGGGTCCCAAATACTATTCGTCTCCATTCACTCCTATCTAACATGCTCACGCACGCTTGCTGGAAGTCCAAGCCCCTCGCACACAAAACCTTCTTTACCCCCTCCCTCCAACCCTTTCGAGGACGACACCTCTCCCACCTTCCTTCCCCCACAGATTTATACGCTCTCCATGTCATTCTACTTTGATCCATTCTCTCTAAACGACCAAACCACATCAACAACCCCTCTTCAGCCTTCTGACTAATACTCCATCATATGCCTTTTCTAAATCTATAAATGCAATGAAAACTTCCCTACCTTTTTCTAAATACTGTTCACATATATGCTTCCTTCCCCTCTTTCATACATTTACAGTTACCTTGATATAAATATACATGGAAACAGAGGCAATATTTGGTGTGAATATCATGCTGAGAACTCTGTGCATAAAAATTAAAAGGTGATGTGGAGTCACCAAGGGTATAATTCAGAGGGCAAGGTCAAGGTGATTTGGGCATGTAGAGACGCTAGAGAGGAATCCTCTTTCTTTCTTTCAACAAACCGGTCATATCCCACTGAAGCAGCATGGCCCAAGAAGAAAAACAAAAGTTTCTCTTTAACATTAGTAATGTATACAGAAGGGGTTACTAGCCCCTTGCTCCCGGCATTTTAGTCACCTTTTACGACACACATGGCTTATGGAAGAAGAATTCTGTTCCACTTCCCCATGGAAATAAGAGGAAATAAACAAGAATTAGTAAGAAAATAGAAGAAAACCCAGAGGGGTGTGTGTATATATATGCATGTACATGCATGCGTAGTGTGACCTAAGCGTAAGTAGAAGTAGCATGATGTACCTGAAATCTTGCATGTATCTGAGACAGAAAAAAGCCGCCAGCAATCCTACCATCATGTAAAACCATTATAGGCTTTCGTTTTTCACTCGGGAGGACGGTATTACCTCCCTGGACAGTTGCCGTCTACTACCTAGTATTAGAGTGGAATATGTTGGCAAAAAGCATGTATAGATCTGGGGTGGAAGACAGGAGCATAGGGTGGGTCATCCCATGAATAACTGGAGGGAGGGGGAGGGGTAAAAGAGGCTGTGAATTTTATTAGCTGAGCTTTGAGTAGGCTTGTATGATGATTATAATAGTATACCATACCAAAATGTTGATGAATAAGCTACATGTGCAACACTTGGGTTTCTTTATTTCTGAAACATTTTGCCTACACACTAAGCTTCCTCAGTCAAATGCAAAGGTGACTGAAGCAGTGACAGAAGCAGTGGAGAGGCAAAGATGGTGTGGCCAGTCCATCATCCTTGAAGAAATAATTTTGATGTGGTCAACAGTGCTGTATGACCCTTGCAGGTTTAGCACTTAATTTGATTATAATAATTTGAGGTGGTCAGTCCCTCAACCTTGAAGCATTGAGCATCTTGGTTTTGGTTGAGACCATAGAGTCCTAGATACTTTTCAGAGTTGAGGGACTGACCACCTGAAAACTGCTTCTTCAAGGCTGATGGACTGATCACATCATCTTTACCTCCACTGCTGCTGTCTTCAGTTTGTCACCCCTGTATTCGACTGAAGACTCCTACTGTTTAGGTAAACTTTTTCGGAAATGTAGATACCAAAGTGTTCCCATGTGCCTTATTCATCAGGCTTGTGTGGACATGTTAGATAGAAATGAATGCAGAAAAGTAGTGAGGATGTAGCAGTTGGAGGGTATACTGATTATGATGTAAGTGCACTTCTGAAAAGACAGCAGTTGAACAAATGAGGAATGCATTTTCTTCTTTGGGTCACCCTGCCTTTGTGGGAGATGGCTGTTGAGTGAAAAAGAAAAAGAGGAAAATTTTTGGCACCATCAACAAACTACACTTGCAAATGACAAAAAAATGTGCAAAGGTACTTTATGAAATGTTTTTTCCCAAATAAAGTGGTAGACATCTGTAATGGAATCGAAGAGAACATACAGTGCAGTATTTATGACAATCAACATTGAAAACAGCACAGTGAACTTAACACTCGCATCAGCCGAATAACCTCTGCTGCCAATACTTGTCTAGAAAATCTAAGTGTACTCTTCAGGAATCTCAACAGTCACTTTGAGCCCTTTATACAACATATGGTAGGCTCATCTTGGAGTATGCACCATGCAAAATACTCAGGAAAATTTATAAGGTATACAGGGATAGCCTGTTTGAGAGGCGAGAAACAGGAAGTTTGGGGCACATCTGGAAATTAAATTCACAGATAAGCCATAAGGATGTTAGGAAGTATTTCTTAAATCTCACAGTAGTTGGAAAGTTAATTGATTTTGGTGAGGAAGTGGTGGAGGCAGGTTCCATACATAGCTTAACCCTTTCATTGTCAGTCCCATAATATGGCTTTGAAGCCAGTGTCAGTCCCGTAATATTATGCCAAAATTCTAGCGGCTTCCAAGCTTGCGGGAGATAGCTGGTAGGCCTACACATGAGAGAATGGGTCTGAGTGGTTAGTGTGCACAGTTTCTTTTTTTCTTGTTATGCATTGTGGCACGCAGTGCATAATGAGAAAAAAGCTGCGACCTTGTTTTTGGTTTAAAACAGCGACTTTGTGGTGTATTTTCATACGGTATTTATGATTGTATTCTCATTTTCTTGGTCTCACTTGATAAAATGAAAGATATATTACAGAAAGGTTTAACAGATTAAAAGTATCTTAAAACTGAGCTCAAAGTAGCAGAAATGTTCAATTTTTGCCTATGTTCAAGAGTAAACAAATCACATCAAGCCTCCAATGCATGTCAACTGGTGGGTCTAATATGCTTTCACAAATGTGCTGATATTATTTATACCATTTTTACAGTAATGCAGTAGTCTGCATAACAGTAAATCTTCTATTTTTTGTGTGAATAAAAATTCAAGATGGAAAACAAGAATAATATAAGGGGGGCCTGAAGACATGACTGATGAACAGAGAAAATGTTATTTTAGTGCTAGGAATGTTTGCATTGTTAATTCTGGACCCTATTTTGGAATTGACCTTTCTTGAATTTTGTTTGAAATTGGCCAAATTACCAATTTCTGATCACTTTTTTGGGTAGTTGAAATAGTTAAATGAGTGGTTTCTTGTACTCAGTCGATAGAACAAAAGGAGTTCTAGCGAAATAGCTGTGAATATAGTTGACTGAAACAATAGAATTGGCCCAAAATAGGGCTCAAAGTGGACAAAATTGCCAATGCGTTAATATTGCAGAGACTGCTAACTTCGTGAAAGCATAATTCCATAAGTTTTCCATCAAATTTCGTAGTCTTGGTTTCCTTACCATTGGGAAAAGATTCTCTATCATTTCATAAGAATTTTTTTTTTTTTTTTTACATTCTTTGACACAGAGCACATTTGCATGGAGGGATCTCATCAATGAAAAGGTTAAGAGCAGGTGCAATAAGGCCCACAAGGCTAAGAGGGAGTGAATCTGAAGAGTTGCAAGTTAAAAGGCAGGGCCAGGTTCTGAGAATTGACCCCTGCAGCCACAAATAAGCTCTTAAACACACACACACACACACACACACGCACACAGAGGATATTATTTTCTACTATGTTTGACTCGTTGTTTGTTAAGAGAGGAGTCCAGGCCCCTATTTTTGGTTGGTAATAATGTAATGTGGAGACAAAAAACGTTATCCATGGCAGCAGAGAAGGGAATGTACGAGGGTATAGTGCACCAACACTTATATGGGTGCGAAACACAGGTTGTAAATGCTGCAGCAAGGAGGCTGGAGGCAGTGGAGATGTTGTGTCTAAGGACAATGCATGGTGTAAATATTATGCAGAGAATTTGTAGTTTCTAAATTAGGAGGTGTGGAGCTTCTAAAAGTATTATCCAGAGAGCTGAGGTGGTTTGGTCACTTAAAGAAATTGGAGCAAAATAAGATGACTTGGTGGAGGGTATATAAATCTGTAGTGGAGGGAAGGCAGGGTAGGGGTTATCCTAGGAAAGGATGGAGGGAGGGGGTAAAAGAGGTTTTATGTGCAAGGGGCTTGGACATGCAGCTAGCATGTGTGAACTTTTTAGATAGGAGTGAATGGAGATGAATGGTTTTTGGGACCTGACAAGCTGTTGGAGTGTGAGCAGGGTAATATTTTTGAAGGGATTCAGGGAAACTGGTTATCTGGATTTAAAGTCCTGGAGGTGGGAAATATAGTACCTGCACTCTAATGGAGGGGTTTGGGATATTTACTGTTTAGAGGAACATCTAAACTGTCATATCTATGCACCTTTAGCAAGACAATGATAGTGCAAATGATGGTGAAAGTCTTTTTCTGGTCACCCTGCCTGGCCAACATACTGTAAGATGTAAAGTCCTGTACTTAACAAAAATTAAACTGTGATTGGAGAGTTCTTTGCAGGATGTTAATTTCATATTTCTTATTCCATCTATTTACAGAGTCTATGAAAAAAGTACATGATGCTGTTTCTAAGCTGAAAGCTACTCATAGCATGAGGAATGTTTGGACTGCACACCGCCTACCTTTCTATGATCCTGCTGTTCCCATTGGTAAGTAATGGCACTGTATTGTGTTAGTGGCTGTCATCTAGTACTATGTCATTGAGGCCAGGGTTCCTCACATATTTCTTCATCATGAGCTCAGCTCACTCAGATAAGCTGTGAGCAGTAAATTTTGGCCTAGATAAGAGAAAATGGGTCTGTGTGGTGTGCACAGTATAAAAAAATCCTGCCCTACATGGTGCATGATGGAAAATGCAAAAACTGACCATATGTTTGGTTTAAAATAGCATCTTTTTGTTTCTGGGATGGTTTTTATTGCTGTTTCTTATTTCATTTGATAAAATGGATGACCTACTATTGAAATAGAGATGATTTTGTTTGGGTTTTTCAGGAATGGAAGTAGCTTGAAATTGGGCTTAGAGTAGTGAAAAAATTAAATTTTTGCCAGTTTTTGTTAGGACGAGTAAGGCCCCTCTACATCACCTGATCTGTTTTGTGAGTTTTTAATGGGTTTGATTCAATTATTGGGATGCCACAAACCATGACCAATCATTCTGGTTATATTTTATTATTCGGGAAATAGAGGTAAATCCTCCTATTTTTGTGTGATTATGAATTCAAAATGGAAGGTAAGTGTAATATAGGAGAGGCCTTGGGACTTATTAGTGAACTGAGGAAATGTTGTTTATTTTTAACCCTTTCGGGGTTTCGGCCGTACTAGTACGGCTTATGCGCCAGGGTTTTTGACGTACTAGTACGCATAAATTCTGGCGCCCTCAAATCTAGCAAGAGAAAGCTGGTAGGCCTACATATGAAAGAATGGGTCTATGTTTTCAGTGTGCGCAGTATAAAAAAAAATCCTGCAGCACACAGTGCGTAATGAGAAAAAAAACTTTGACCGTGTTTTTGGTTTAAAATAGCGGCTTTGCACTGTATTTTCATATGGTATTTATGGTTGTATTCTAGTTTTCCTGGTCTTATTTTATAAAATAGAAGACATATTACAGAAATTGAAATGATTTTGATTGGTTTCACAATGAAAAGTACCTTGAAATTGAGCTCAAAGTAGCAGAAATGTTCGCATCAATACACGTCAACTGGTAAATCTAATATTCTTTCACAAGTGCGCTGGTATTATTTATACCATTTCTACACTAATACAGTAGTCTGCATAACAGTAAATCTTCTATTTTTTGTGAGAATAAAAATTCAAAGTGGAAAGCAAAAGAAATGTACGAGGGGCGTGGGGATGTGACTAATGAACAGAGGAAATGTTATTTTAGTGCCAGAAATGTCTTTCTTGTTTATTCTGGACCCTATTTGGAAATTGACATCTTTTGAAATTTGTGTAAAATTGGCAAAATTGCTAAATTCTGACCACTTCATTGGATAGTTGAAATCAGTAAATGGGTGGTTTCTTGTACTCGTTCACTAGAAAATGGAGTTCTTGCAAAAAAGTT